GTTTATTCACCAATCAAGGGCCCACAGGGGGCATGAACAATTATTACAAAATGATAACATTGATTACAATTCTATATTAAGGATAATGTAACATGACTTGTGATTAAGTTTGACATTGAGAAGTGCATCACCACACTGGATCAAAGGCATAGAAACCATAGAATGATAAAAGAAAACACAATTAAATAAAAATGATAGATATAAGGTAAATTAAAATTAAAAAAAAAAAAAAAATCTTGTAGTAATGGCAGTACTCTAATATAAAACTAGTGCATCTTGAATACAAAGGGCACCAGGGGATGATACCTATACACAGCCAGTCTGGCAAACCTGTACCCTAAGTATTGAAGATGGTCATTCAAAAAAAAAAAAAAATCATTTAAGTATTAACAGAAATAGTAATTTCAATTAATAAGTACTTAGCATATAATTAGAAACTTAATGCAAACTAATCTCTTGGAGTTAGGGTTACAAGGTAAGAAACAAAAGTTGTAAACAAACGGGGGTTCCCCACTTCGAGACAGATTTTTATTATACCGAATAGGGCCATTCTTTAAACGTGAGAAAAAGTACAATCTGCTTGCATATAACGACATATAGATGTGTTTGACGGGGAAATTTTATATTTTCGAGGTATTATACATTCTTACATTTTTTTTTCATTTAAAAAAAGGGGGTGGGGTATTATCCATACTTCAGGTGCCTGTGGTAAAGACAGGTCGATTTATTGCCTGTTTTAAATTCCCGCCCCATTGAGATCCGCCTCCAATTTAGTTTTATGTTTTATCGACGTTTTTTTTGTCTTATGCCAGGTCCACTAAGACCTATGGCCATATCAAGAAAAAGTATATTCATGTGATTGATGATGATAAATTTACATATCTACCGTCGACTATAAAGCGACAATATTTATTTGATCTAGGCGATCGCGTTATGCGTCAGTGCGTAAGCGGCCTTGATGTAAACAATGTTTGGTTTCTATGCGTAAAGCAGGTGCTCGATTTTACTAAATCGCTTGATGCATATGCGAAATAGAAGGTGTAATGATCGTTTAACATTACTGGTGCAAAGGATTAAATCAGTTGTTCATGTGGAAACAATTTTCACTATGAGTTTTGAAGTGCTGTGTTAAAAATGGTGCAGGTCCGTTAAGCGCATGCTTTTGGCGAACTGATGGTGAAAAGGCCGGCCATGGATCCAGACGAGATGAGAGGGAGGACAAACCATGATGCAGACGACATAAACCAATTTGACTCCGTGTCTAACATTCGATCCCAGCCAGAGAGGGTTAGAGACGCCCCCAAGGCAGTCCAGAGGGAGGGGTCAAATCTACAGAATGACAGAAAGGAGCAGTTAAACCCACCAAACCCAACTAAATCCAAGAAACTCAAGAAAACCATCTTCATTTCTTACTCTCCCGATGCAGGCTTCATGGAGAGGAAATTTGTAGTGGAGACAGTTCGTCAACTGAAGGAGAATAACCTTGCTGATGACATCTGGTTTGATAAAGATGAGAAAAACACAGACAGTCCGTGTTGGTTCTCGTTACGAATGGAAGCTGTAGAGAAATGTAGAGCAGCAATTCTTATAATGTCAGACAGTTACTTCTCTTGTCCTGTGTCCGTCTATGAGGGGAAAACCCTCGTGGAAAGACTAAAGATGGACCCAAACTCAGTTGCAATATTCCCTATTATGTTTTCATCTTTAGAAAAAAGTGAGATGCCAAAGGAGTTTAGTTTATTAGTGAAGGATGTTGTAGAATTGACTTCACCTGACCATCACAAGTTAAGTTTAGCCGAGAAAACCTCAGTTGTGATTGGAGCTATAATGGAAGAACTAGAGAGGTACGCCTCTATTCATTCCCCTCCTGCCCCCACCACCCCACCAGACACTGATTTCACGGGGGAATATAAACGGAAAAAGATTTGTCAGTGGAATGCAAACGATTTGCAAGAATGGCTTTTTAAACTGGGAATTAAGGAATTTTATCGTCAGAGTCTGGCCGAGAGCATGGTGGACGGTTTCTTAATGATGTCTCTAACTGACCAAGATATGATACACCAACTTGGAATCGATAGTCGTGTTGTCAGAAAAAAGATCATGCAGCAGATATTGCAGACACTGGATCGTGAACACAGACAAGGCGACAACTGGCATCTCAGGGCGAGGACTCAGCGATCCAAACCTGATGTCATCTATCTTATATACGACCCCACTGACGTCAGGCTGGCACAGAACATTAAAACTGATCTCAAGAAAAAGAACTTACAGGTGAGAAAAACAGGTGTACAAAAACTGTGTGTTACTGTAGTAGAATATAATACAGGTGATAAAACACCTCTACTCTCTGAAAACCATCATCAGGGTACCTTTTGGTCCCCATATATGTACTGCGGTAGAACTTATGCTTGCTCTGTTTTGTGCTTTCATGTTGTTGTCAAAGTGTGTCATGAACTATAAAACAATCGATTAGATGAGTTAGTCAATGTCCTAAGAACACAAGTAATACTTGACACAAAGGACAAATTATGAACATATTTATCAGAATAAATGTCAGTCAACAAATATTAAGAATTACCTTGATATAAAACCCACGGTAAAAAAAAAATTTCTTTTCATTATAAGGCATGTAGTCTAGCTTGTGATTGATAACACATGGTCATATGCTTGCAGTTAAAACTTTTCAATTTTCCAATTTATTGAGGATATTGTGTATTATTGACACTTTGTGTCAGGCTTTGATACAGATTTAATAAGTTCCTTTTCAAGGTCAATTTAGGTGCAGTTTTCTTATATATATATGTGTGTGTGAATATAACCAATATTCAATTGAAAAAAATCACTTTCATACAGATTAGGCAGAGATTGTAAAAATATTTGTCTGGTTGGTTTCTTTTGGAAATATTGATTACCAAGGGTTGACAATGGATTGTAAATTAAATTTCACTTTGTATTTATGTGAAGTGGTCATGATTTGGGAGTACTGCTGGCCATGATTTATGACCAGGGTTTTATTAAGCACTCCCTATATGGGCAAGTAGATGAATCACACATACCCATGAGTTTCCAAGTTTTTTTGTATTTCAGAGCAGGGTATGTTGAAACCAATGCAATTTTTGTGTGTGTGTTTTTTTTTTCAAAATACATGTTCTCCATAACCAAGACAGCTAGTGCATTATCTAAATCCACCAGCATGATCATAAAAGAACACCAGAATTCATTTTCCAATTTGGATCAAAGTACATGGGATTGGGATTCAAGTCAAACACATTTAAATGCTTTCCTGTTTAGTTAGATATCAGTTTTAGAATTTGTTCTATTTCTTACTTTACTACAATTGATGTTAGGATTGATCCATTTAAATGCCCGAATGATCTGTTTTAAATCCGTAATGATCTGTTAAAACATTGTGATGAGCGCTGACAGAAATGTAAGAAGTACTTGTCATTAAATCTAGATAATCGGGGTGTCTTCACAAAAAACCAAACCAAAAATAAATGTTTTTAGATTTAAATATCTGTAAGAACTCTTGAAAGAGAGAAGTTGTAATTTAAAATGAGCTAAACAAATTACAGACACGAGTACTTATTTACAACTGTCTGGAAAACAAAGACTGGTCTGTGAAAATAATTTAAAGGATCATTTGATTAATATGATAATTTGTTTGTGGACCCAACCTAATCTCTGTATTAATAGTCCCCAAAAGAAAAAAAAATCTCAGCAATTAAGCTTAAACAAAGCACAAAATTAATCTGGAAAACCTTTGTGTTGTACAGAATTCAATATTAAAGAGTATATGAAATAGGAGACAGGGTGTCTGCTAAGTTTACTTTATAATTTCAAAATGGTAAGTATGAATTTTTCTAACTTATTAAAATTTAAAGGATGAACAAAACCCAGATAAACAGACGAAGTAGTCATTTGTAAAACACATTTTCTACTCCACCTGTATATTTGAGGTAATAAATTTTATGTAAAAGAAGTCAAGGGGAGCAAGCTAATTTGGGAAATTTAATTGTGTTCCCTAGCTCCTAAGAAAAAAAGAAAGTGAAAAACCTTAAAATGCAGATGGAGAGAAGAAAAAAATGATTGACCTTGACCTTTCAACTCTTGGCCTTAAATGATGACCTTAAATTCCATTTCGTAGGCTTTCAGAGAACTATTATTTTAATGTATCATCTGTCACTGATTGTCAGTGAAAACTGTTAATTATCTGCAAGATATGAATTTCTGACCTTGACATCTTGATGTCAAAATCATCAGTGCACATCTTAAAATCGTATTGTTGACTAATGTTATTAAAACTTCATTGCAAATCCCCCCTAAAAAAACCTAAAGTTCTGAAAGCATGGGATATAAAAAGAAAAAAAAAAAACTAGAGCTCTGAAAGATATTTTGCAATGTATGAATTTCTGACTTTGACCGTGATTTGCCCTAAATATCAATAAGGGTTTTCTTGAAGTCATTGGAATTAGCTAGGGTATAAAAATTCATTGAAGAAGTTCAAAGAAAATTCAAGTTGTCATCTGAAAACAGTTTTTTTTTTTTTTTGGCAAAATATACCCGGTAACCTTTTTACTTCAAAATCAATAGGAGTCTTTCTTTAAGTCCACAGGAGTTAGGATATATATAAAGCTGCGCATTGCAAATAAGCTCAAAGCTCAATATGCTCAAAGACTTTGAGATATTTTCTGGAAAGAAAAATGTTACACATAATCAGAGTGACAGATAAATGGATAGACCCAATTAAAATTTCCCTCAACTGGGGATCAAAAATGAGATCTAGCAATTTCAGGGCAAATGGTTGATGCAGAATTTTTTTATTGCTTCAACAGCTAACAAAACTTTTGATCAGAGGTGGGATGGGAAAGTAGAAGCTGAATTTTAAGATAGGGAAAATGTACAATTCCATATAAAAGCTATTTTTTTGTCTTTAAAAGTCACATCATATGCATTTATTTTTATACAAATAAACTTTCTGGAGGGGGAGTGGAGCAGACACTGAAAAAGTAAAAGCAACTGAATATGTTTTATTTGACATGTTTTTTTTTGTTTATGTAGTTGAAGCTATGTGTTTACGTTTGATTAAAATTCATTGTTTTATAAACTGAAATGGCTAACTATTAAGAATAAGTATGTACACTTAATATATTTAGGTAATTCACCATGATAGTGTGAAGCTAGGGAGATCAAAAGAAGAGTTCCTGCAGATAAACGGACCACAGATTGCCATGGCAACACAGGTCATCGTCCTACTCACCGAGGCAGCCACGGGGTCACCCTTTGTTTTTCATGAAGTGCTGTTTGCTTATTGGCTGGGGAAGAAGCTGGTGTCGGCCATGTTTAAAAATGTCTGGATAAATTTAAGAGCCTCCTTGAAAGCAGTTTTAGGTAAACAATCATGTATGAATTTTACATTTATTGTATCTAATTGAATAGTAATATCTCATTCTTTTAAAGAATTTGGAAGCTACAAGTAATAGCTATGATCTCCTTTAGCTGCTAAGGTATAGGAATAACTAACATGGATACTAAGTGCTTTCGATATAAAAAAAAATTAAGCAACCTAGCTCAGTTACTGCTGCATATATCGCATAGAAATAAATACTAATCTATCATCAAAGTATAGAAAACAGGATGATCTGTTCTGATGTGGCATAAAAGTAAACATTCTGATTGTATTTCAAAGAAGAAACCATGACTGATCTCGATGTAAAAAATTCCGATCTGTCCTTGGATAAAAAAATCATCCACCCTAATAATAAAGCAAATTAGTATGTTCTTTCTTCAAAGTAACGAAAACATCTGTCCTAAAGCACAAACACACACATAGTCCACATTTAGAATGAGAAAACATGATCTGTCCTCAGAGTGAGGAAAACATTATCAGAGCTGTCCTCAAAGTAAAATAAACATCAGAGCTGTCTTCAAAGTAAAGTAAACATCAAGATCTGTCTTCAAAGTAAAGTAAACATGATCGTCTGTCCTCAAAATACAGTAAACATGATGACCTGTCCTCATAATATAGTAAACATGATGATCTGACCTCAAAGTAAAGTAAACATGATGTTCTGTCCTCAAAGTAAAGTAAACATGATGATCTGCCCTCAAAATAAAGTAAACATGATGACCTGTCCTCAAAATATAGTAAACATGATGATCTGACCTCAAAATATAGTAAACATGATGACCTATCCTCAAAATATAGTAAACATGATGACCTATCCTCAAAATATAGTAAACATGATGACCTATCCTCAAAATATAGTAATCATGATGATCTGTCCTCAAAGTAAAGTAAACATGATGTTCTGTCCTCAAAGTAAAGTAAACATGATGATCTGCCCTCAAAATAAAGTAAACATGATGACCTATCCTCAAAATATAGTAATCATGATGATCTGTCCTCAAAGTAAAGTAAACATGATCATCAAGTAAACATGATGATCTGTCCTCAGACCAAAGAAAACGCCAAACCAATAAGTTGGTTGCCCAACAATTTTAGTTTAGATATTGGTACATTTAGTTGCGAGAAAAGGCAATGAGCTGTAAATAGGAAAGGGAAGGGGAGGGGGTAATGACCGATTTATATATTAATTACGCTTTTGTGAAAGTGAACATTTTTTTTAAAAAATTCAGGTGAATTTTATTTGGTACATATATGTATAACCGGAAGGAATTATACCTACTGTAATACGGAGAGACATTAACTTGACTTCAATATTTTATAAAACATCGTTACCATACGCATAGCACCTTAAACACGCTTAAGAAAACCCTCATGTAGCTTACAAATTCCAAGATAAGGCATGCTATAAAGACTTATTCAGTGAGTGGACATTAAGCAATTGGTTGAAATGGACGTTGATTATAGATAGAGAGTTGTTTCATTATCAGAAAATGAAAATGCATTGAAAGTACGTTTAATAAAGGTGTTGGACATTTTCCATAAATATAATAACTAATTTCTGTAGAACAAATTTCAATTTACAAGGCTATTTATTAAATAGGAAAATTGTCCACACTAGAAAATCCTATTTTTTGAGGGGGTCTAACAATCAAATTTTCTTTATACACATCATCAATTACGCTAATTTTGAATTTTAAAAATGTTTGTGACAAATATGACATGCTGTGTCAGTGTTCAGTTGGAGAGTAAAAGCACAGGTACTTGTGGACATGACACCCCCCCCCCCCCCTTGAATATACACCCCCAGGTCAAAAGAATTTTTTCATAAATTTTTCTTCTTAAATGTACTTATTTACAATGCATTACATATGAAAAATCAAAAAAAATAACCTAGAATTAATGTTTCGTTAAAACATCTGTCCAAAAAAGTGATAATTTTTGCACGGGAAATACCGGATATATTAGCGATGATTAAAGTTGCACAGTATTGATCACCATTTGAATATACGAATCACACAGATTCAGTAATAAATTTATGAATTCGACTTCTACGAAAATAACCCATACACAATTTTTTTTTAATCACAAAATGTTAAACCGTATTAATAATAAGATATTATCATTACAATATTCTAGACTAACATGAAATATATGCATGGAGAAGGACCGTAATTATGCTCAAAAGTTCATTAAAACAATACAAAATGGGAGCAGAGCAAAGCAGAGCTCTCAAAACAGGTGGGACCAGGTGCCATAGAGGAGTAAGCATTCCCAGTCGATGGGTCACACCGGTGTAAAGACGAATAATGACCCCCATCGAATAATGACCGGGGGTTCATTTTTCAACGACAAAAAATGACCCCCACCCGTAGAAAAAAATCATTTTTTGTAGAAAAAGGGTCCTAGGGGGTCATTATTTTATATGTTAGTCCTATAAAATAATGACCCCCATTGAAAAATGACCCCCTTTAAAGTGATACAAAATATACACTCTTTGATATCTTTTTCACAGCGAAACTAATTTTTACATTTTTTGTAACCAGAAAAATACAAAAAGTCGTATGAAATAATTAAGAGATTCACGTAGTCTTTCAATGCTAAAATTGTGTTTGAAAAGAGATTCTTTAAAGCTATATATGCCGTATTAGTGTTTTATTATACCCCCCGCTTGAAAAGCGCGAGGGTATGTAGTAATCGTTAATTCCGTCCGTCCGTCTGTTACGCTTTGGGGTACCCATCTCTTATCCGTAACTCCTCTCATACCACTGAAGGAAATTTAATGAATCTTTCACAGAATCTTTATTACATATTGCCATTGTGCACCTCCTATTTTACTTTTTGATCTGACATATATTTTAGATTTTCCAAATCAAAACATCTTTCCTGTTTCCTGTGTAACAAGACACAGCCATTTTATTCATATGGGAGGCGGGGGGTATCATTTAGTGAGCTCATTGCTCACAGTACTTCTAGTTTTAAAAGTAATAAATATATGTGGTGTCTCATCAAGTTATATAAGTTATATACTTTCTGCAAATAAGACAATTCCACTCCATCACTTTTAAAAGTTATGAAATATTATTTGGTAAAAATTATTTTCTCTCCGTGTCGGATAAAAAACCGCCTCTTATTGAAATATTCATGATCACGTTGTCTCGCATGTTTACAGCAAACAATGGTCCAATCTCGGGAATGAACCGAAAAGCATGATGGTCTACTACGTTTTTACTACAAACACGTGAGTTAGGGATTGTCAATGCATGAGCACACCTCAGAGTTGGTTGCTTTTTGTACCGAGGAATAATCACGTGCAATTGTCTTTTCAATGGACATTTTCGGTTGGGTAAACTTCTACAGATGTCAGCGACCATAGATAAAGAAGTGTGGAAACCATGTTGTGCCAAAATGAAATAACTGATACAAACAAATGAAATAATTTGATCAATCAAAATGGTTATTAGATACATTGGATTCTGCATTTCTTAATGGTTCAAAACAACAAAAAGTATTCCACAGAATATCATGTATAAATCTGCACAATATACCGAATGCCAAAACCAGAATACTACTTAAATAATATAATTATATTCTTTACATATGAACCACAGTATTTCTGACCCCTTCAAAATAATATAAAAAATCTTGCAAGTAGGTTATCAGCATTGGCTCGGGCTAATTCGAAAGTGAAATTTGGAGTTTGGCAGTAAATTGTAGTGAATGAATAAAATTTAGTAGTGAAAGATATTGGAACCTATTTTACTTGTCAGATTTCTTCGAGCTAGTTGATTTTTATTCTAACTGTTCTATCCCCCACCTACTTAAAAAAACGATGCTACCTACCTGAATTAATTTTTCTTAATGATGTTCATCGAAATGCTTGGTTGTGCCCTCAAACTGGAATAGTTTTAGAGGCCTGGAATTCCTTGACCAATTTTATTTTATTACCCAACTATATTTCTAAGAAGGCAAGATGTATGGTATGTAAGTTTCATCTACATATGTTATGTAGTTCATATTAAAAAAAACCCAAAGGGATAATTGACGATATCCCATTCATAAACATAGCAGTTTAAATTACTTTCCATATATTGTACTTGACATAAAATATTTTTTGCGCATAATGCGCTCCATACTGAAGATCTGTAAATGTTCACCCAACCGAAAATGTCCACTAGCAGTACAGCACGGGGAAACTCTAAACAAACGGACTTGTACAATGGAGTGGGGAAAACTTTAATTTTCATCATTGCTAATCATTTGTATGCAAATATGAGCATGGGATTAGTAGATAATAATGTACATAATGCATCAAGTCTTTCTGAGAGCGATTTTAAAAACTAGCCTTTTTGAAAAACACATGTAGTATTTTATGTAGTAACCCATAAATGTATTAAATGCAACTCATTGAGTTGATTGGTCTATTTGTGTCCCTCACTGAACAGACGTCACAAAAAATATTTTCCTCGACCTGATGATTCTCGCGATGCTTTTCCCGCGCACATGCGCAGATCCAGGATAAACCTCAGTCCTTTATAAATATGCATGAGAATATCGTGTTCTTTTCCTTACCAGTACTTTGTTCATACCTAATAAATTTTGTCGAATTTGCAAGAATGCTTCATTTTTGGTAGCTTATTATACTTCAGAAATTTTTGTTCAGTTTCAGCTGTGCAAAAATACTGTTTAACACGGCATACATATCTTTAATTGTCAAGTAAATAACATTTCTTTTTAATATTCCTCCTTATAATGTTTGCTTAAAGAATGATATTCCACTTGTTTTTAGAAATCAAACCATGCAAAAATCAGGTTTAAATACCCTTTAATAGGAAAAATTAAATTTTTCCGTCATTTCAACTTTTAGTTTGTTTAAGTTTGGCAAATCCTATTTGACCATGAAAGAGAAAGAAATTTTTATCCCCCCCCCCCCAAAAAAAAAGAGCATTACGTTAATTCAAAACAAAAAAAATAATAATAAATGAAAAACAGAAATATAAATAAAACTCTATAGCTTTCTCTACACCTTTCTGAAAGAGGCTCTAGATAAAATATTGAAATGAAGTTAAGCCTTCACACAAGTACTATCATATCATAATTTACTTCGCCATGATTAAAGCATACTTTAAATGTTGGTGGAGGTATACTTGAAAATTAATCCCTTCTTATAGAAAAATAAAGGTAGGATGGTTTTTTTTTGCTTTTGTTCAATATCGACTTCCTTCTAAATAAGAATGGGGGTTGGGTAAGTATAAGACCTAAAAATATGCTCTGTAAAGCTATGGGCTAGTGTAAAATACACTGTCATTCTAATGCAAAAACGATACATGTAGACATAATCTTTTGATTTAGCACACAGTATTCATTACATTTCTTTTAACGTAGAACCTACTTCGTATGACATCATAACTTGTAAATGTGTTTAACCTGTGCTAACCCATTAAGACGTCATAATCAATTCAATGCTACTTTTTCCCGTACTTGATAGCTTCAATAAAAATGGTAGAAAAAACTGCATTTTGAAATTCACAGAATTCAATCATGCCAACATAATCTTGATTTAATTCATATATTTTTGGTTTATAATGCTTAATGGCAATATATTTCTGGAATAAGAGAAAATATGAAGGCACCTTTTATTTACTAGATCTAGACCTGAAGTTGACAAACCCAAGACTATCTAGTGTAATGAAATAATAATGTACATACAACTTTCGTAATAATTTGAATGGTATGTAACCATTTTGAAGGAATGCATAAATCGTAAGAAATCTTTAGTTGCCAGCTATATAGTGTAATATCTTGATGAAATGTGTCTAAGTCAAAGATGTATGCGTTGTAGATCGTTTGATCGTGTGTACATTTTTGTGATATCTATAATGAAATGATGTGCATTCCTTTTAACAATTATTTGTTACCTACTCATATTCTTGGTGTTTGATTACAATTTTTCTATTAAATATGATCTTATTTTTAAAAGAAAAAGTACAATTTCTGATAAATATTTAATCTGAAAGTAACCCCAAACAGTCATTTATTTATTAAATCCCGTGTAAGTGCAAAAAGGTCAAGAATATGAGTATCGGTAAATAACCTATCTTTCATTAGTTAGAGGGGAAAGGTATATATTTTTCATATTCCCTTTATGACAAGTACCCCTAAAAGTATTTGAAAATGTGAAGTCGCAGTATGTAAATACCATACCAAGTTTCACAGCCTGTTCTAGATTCAAAAATAAGGAAACATATCATGATATCTTAAATGATTGAAAAGCAAGTACTAATTTACTATTTTGAAAAATTTGAAAATCTTGTGACAAAGACTTTTCCGGCATAGGTTCTACCTTAATTCATGTTTTACTCCACCCTTTTACTCAGTTCTGAGTATATTTTTTCAGAGAATTTGATATGGAAATCAGAACAGACATTTTCATTGTTGTAACGTTTTCTTTATAATGTATATTAATATGAAAAGTTAATTGAAGACAATTTCTTTTTATGTCCCCGTAATCGAAGATTCGGGGTAATATAGTTTTATCGTGTTCGTCTGTATGTCCGTCTGTCTATCTGGCGGTTTGTTTGTCTGCAAAAACCTTAACCTTTACCATAACTTTTCATTTATTGGAGCTATGACTTTCATATTTAATATGTATATTCCTTGTGACAAGACCTTACTTTGGGTACCACCAAATTTGACCTTTTGACATTTACCTTGGAGTTTGTCCCATTTTACACAAAAATGCCAAATTTTTACTTTAAACGGTAGATACTAGTACTCTCATACTTCAAATATGTAGTTTTTTGGCATTACCTTTCATTGGATACTAAAAACCTTGACCTTTTGACCTTGACCGTTAGTTTTCCATACTTATGATTTTTTTTTACCTTGGCCATAACTTTTGAAGGGTAAGGGCTAGGGTATTCATACGTCACATATGTAATCCATGTTACATTACACATTTTCTTAAGAAATCATCAACTTTGACCTTTGAGTTTGACCTACCTTTCAAAAACTTATCCTTAGCAATTACTTTTGAACAAGTGGTGCTAGGGCTTTCCTATTTTGCAGTTGTATTTCTTGTGAGAAGACCCTACTTCGGGTAACAATATATTTAAATTGCATTTAAGAAAAGTTTAATCTTCGCTATGTTGCCATACAGGGGCATAGCTGTTTCACAAACACATCTTTTTATATAAACGAGGATTTGCGGATAAGAGATGGATACCTCAAAGCGTAACAGACGGACGGACGGACATCCCAATCACCATATACCCTCCCGCTTTTCAAGCGGAGGATATAATAATATATAATACTGCTGATTTTTTCTGTCAGTTCGATGATTTCCACCATCAAAAAACAATGTTTACCTAACCCTTAAGGCTTGATAAATCTTTTACTCCTTTAGATTCTGAATCTAGCATTTACCTTAAAATATAGCTATAATTGTATAATGTTATGAGATCAACATATCATCAGTTTATTCCCAATAAGCTCAGGTGAGCATTTTGACCAATATGCTTCTTTATCCAATTTTTTTTTTTTGCCCCCTAAAAATTTTAGCTTTAATCTACAGGGGGTCATTTTTCTACGGGGGTCATTTTTCTTCACGTGGATTCTGCAAATTTTTAGGGAAGTGACACTTTTTCTACGGGCAAAAGGGTCATTTTTCTACGTCGAATAATGACCGGGGGTCATTTTTCGCTGTCGAAAAATGACCCCCGGTCATTATTCGATGGGGGTCATTATTCGTCTTTACACCGGCCGTGTGTATCTATATATTATATTAAAATTAGTAGTGTATATCAAGGATACAGCATTCATGAAAGTCTGGACAAGGGTAGTGATCAGTAAATTCAATATGAACGTCTTAAAAAGTAAGAACGGCAATGCTGAGGTGTGTCTCATAACCTTATACTACATTTGATTAGTAGAAAAAAAATGATTCAACACATTACATATTTTCCTCTTCTCTAATATTGCTCATCTGCTTATCGGTTATCTTAACAGCTGATGATCAGCATACACAACATATACTATTTTCTCTACGTTAAGTTCGTTAATTTCATTCCCATACCTTTTTGTCTGACTAGGTGAGTGTGACATTGTTTATTATCTTTTTGTCTGACCAGGGGAGTGTCCCGCCGTGGACTTTGAGACCAAGATGTATAACGAGAGCTTGGACGTGCTGGAGCACCACATCAAGCCCCTGAGGCGAGTCCCGGGGGTGGTGCTAGAACAGTCCTACCTCAACAAAATGGCGGAGGGTCTGAAGCCACTGGAGATGCTGGCCTACTCCAGAAGTCAGTATGATTAATTAATTATCTTCAATTTACAAAATGTTTGTTTTAGAAAACCACATCTAATATTGAAGTTTATAAATGTTAAATGTATACATGTATATACTGGTCAACGAAGACATGTACACGGAATCACTGCACATGACTACAGGTTTACTGCCCAGTCAGTTCTCACAGACGTTTTCTTAAAACTTCGATAATCAGAAAAGATTTTTTCAATGTTGCAAAGGAAGTTGACCTTGACTTTTGATCCAATTGAAATACAATTTAACCCCATTCTAGATTAAGATATGGGTTATGTTGAATACCACCTTTGTTGATTTTGACCGTAGCCTCAGAATTGGTCAAAATCCCGATTCACATTTTGTCCAGACAATATGGGTTCAAACAGTCTTTGTAATTTCTCAATTCCCATCAAAGGCATACATTTATTTTATTTGTGAGAACCTGCAAATTATTCTCGGTTTCGAGTTCTGTTTTAACCATTCACATCTAAGATCTTTTTTTCCTAGATGGCGTGGTGGCCCGGTCCCCCACGGAAGGTGACCCCCAGGTGTTTATCAGCTACCAGTGGGACATGCAGGGGAAAGTAGAGGACATTAAACAGCTGTTAGAGAACAATAACCTGCCGTGCTGGGCCGACGTGTCCATGACCCAGCCTCCCCGGGGTCATAGCAGCAAGTCCAGCCGGAGCAGTGTGGGGATCCACGACGGGAGCTCCGAGACGTTACAGAGTCAGATCCAGCGGAACATGAAGGCGGCCTCCGTGGTTCTCAGCTGTATCACCCCCAAGTACCTCCAGAGCGACAACTGTAAGAAGGATCTGACCTTGGCCGAGACCTTCAACAAACCTGTCATTCCGGTCCTGCTTCGGTTCTCTCCGCAGGAAAACGCACCTGAACAGGTGCGAAAAATCCTGGCCAAATTCTCGTATATCGATATAAGTAACGAGAGGTTGTACAAACAGAACATTCCGCTGGTCTTAGATAAAATCAAAAAGGCTGTCAGTCAGAGAGGTAGTTACCGTGACTACTGAGGTCATCACCTTGACAACAGAATCGATCAGCCATTTTTACCGTCAGTATTTCAAGACATTCTCTCATTGTGCTTCCAGTGTGTTCGTCACCTACAGATATTTTCGTATCGTCTGTAGATATTTCCAAGTACCTTCCAATATTTCTCTGTTACCTCGAGCTCTAAACACCTCATTTCCCACACTCTTATACTTATATCTATCCCTTATAAATAAGCATCACCTAACCCCCCCCCCCCCCGTTTTCTGATGCACTCCTCTGTATTACCTAAAATATTTCTTCCAGCTCCCTGTATTTACCCCTTTTAACTCCCCTCCAGTGGTGTTTGATATGTGTCCGTATGTTTCTGAGTACATGTATTTGGACAAAAACTCCCTCTGTCTGTTAAGTTGACCTTCACCCTATATTAACAAAGGCGTTTATTGTAATAAGGTTGACTGCCATTTTGTATCTTTTTATCTAAGATTTACATCCATATATCATTATTGTATTGTTTATTGTTGCCATGGTTATAATCTCTTATGATTTGTACTATTTCCTTGTTCTCAAAATAAAGAATGCGTATTGTTGAAATGATGTTTTTGACTGTGATACAGAATGCGATGTATATATTTTTAGACAGAACAGTACAACTATTCTAAAATCAGTGGAATTTAATAACCAAGTTTTTCCGTACACAAAACAGCCTACCGGTTAAATTGCAGGGTCTCACAGTTTCAGAGAACAGAATGTTTCAGACTCTTACAAAGTTACATAAAGCAAGCTTTCGTGCGATCTGAGGAACCATTGGATTGAAATTCTAGTTTGAAGTTAATTTTCAATCAGCCTAGGCTATTTTCCTACATTAGGTGTGAATCTATATACATCTGTATACAGGTATAATGCATGATCCAAAATACACTTTCCATCACCAAATTATAGTCTGAAAATGATCGATGTAGATCAGAATTTTCAATCTTAACGCAAATGTTATAGAATATATATAAATACATTCTTTCAGGGAAAGAACATTTGACTCTAAAGGGGGAGAGGTAATTTCTATCCATGCCTTTACAAAACAATACATTGTGTATATATTTATTTCTGGAATGGCAGGAGATATTTTATCTTCTTGACTGAAAAAGGTTAACCAGGGCTTGTCAACACTCGTTGTCGGAACCAACGGGTTTTCTCTCCGTTACAGAATTTAAATCTGAATTTAAATGCAGTGTAACGGAGAGAAAACCTTTGGGTTCCGACGATGGTCAAGACTCAAAAACTTCCCTGCTTACTTCCAAGATCTACATTTTTCTGGAGAATCAAATTTCTTAATCGCCTGCGTGGCGCAGTGGTTAGAGCGTCTGCTCTAGAGTCGCGAAGTAAGGAGTTGATCCTTACGTGGCGGGTTCGAATCCCACTCTAGGACGTGGAGACCGGTCCTTTGGATGAGACCGTATAAACTGAGGTCCTGTTTCGCAGAAGGTGCTGGTACCCGTCCATATTACACTGTCTATCATCAATATGTTTGACTCTAATAGATGGAAAATGTGTAAATTGCATGCATCTAAATTTCCAGGTAATTTTCCGCGGGTCTATCAAAAAATCAGTTTTTTAGCTGGTCCTTGTCTACGATCATTCAAACATCCAAAAATGAAACAACTGTGGCAGACTCTATAGTGTCCTTTCTTTCAATGAAATATATCGAGTCGACAGAAGAATAGATGTCGAGTCAAGGACCACAGCAAATCTTGAGCATCTAGTTGGCGTGTAATATTTATTCAAAATAATTTCTGTTTCATGGAAGTATATAAACAAGTCGGCTAATAAAGGAGCACATTATATGCCCATAGTAATTCAACATTTTGTTGGAATACTTGGTCGCCGAAGACTTAATGTCGTCAATTAGGAACTGTAGTATCCTTAATAGATCAACTTCAGAGCAATTTTGTGCAGAATTTGACCGAATTTTAACAACGTAATTTTGTTGATGACCAGCCAGAAGATATATACGAAAATTTCCTACTTCCATTTTTCATCAAGAAGGATTTGTTGATGATATCAAAAAGCGTAGTTTTTAGCTCTACTAGTCAGAGACTAGAAGAGCTTATGCTATAGTAATGCGTCCGTCGTCCGTCCTTCTGTCTATCTGTCCGTCTGTAAACAATTTTTCAAAACGCTACTCCTCCTACAGTTTTGGTCTGATTTCAATATAACTTGGCACACAAGTAGACTACACTAGCATACATAATTCTGTTTATCGGTTTTTGATTTCGATAAACGGTGTTGCTGTGGTTACTAAAAATAGAATTTTTTGTAAAAATCATTCAAAATGCTACTTCTCCTACAGTTTAAGTCTGATTTCAATATAACTTGGCACACAAGTAGACTACACTAAGATACATAATTCTATCGGTTTTTGATTTCGATGAACGGTGTTGCCGTGGTTACTAAAAATAGAAATTCTTTGAAAACATTCAAAATGCTACTCTTCTACAGTTTTAGTTTGATTTCAATATATTTACATTTCCAATGTCTTTGTCCGAGATAAAATTACCAACTGTAAATGTAATTGATTTCCTCATGAATGTTTTGGCGCGGTTCCAAAGAAAACCACATGCAGGGCGGGACAACACCTAGAGAGAAGCAGGCTTGGAGCCCGTGGATTGGCGGAATCAAAGCATGTAAATATAAGGAATAACTGTCAGATTTTTCGAATTCATGAAGATGATCAGATCGATTGGCTTGTGTGATAATCTTATGCATAAACGCCTTCGGCGTTTATGCAAATTATCACACAAGCCAATCCATTGATCACTTCATGAATTCGAAAAATAAGACAGTTATTCCTTAAATAACTTGGCACACAAGTATACTACACTGAGATACATGGTTATGTATATTGGTTTTTGATTTCGATGAACGGTGTTGCCGTGGTTAATAAAAATAGAAATTTCTGTGAAATTCTTTCAAAATGCTACTTTTCCTACAGTTTTGTTCTGATTTCAATATAACTTGGCAGACAAGTAGACTACACTAAGATACATAATTCTATATATTGGTTTTTGATTTCAATGAATGATGTTGCCTTTTTTACTAAAAATAGAATTTTTAAAAAATACATTCAAAATCCTACAGTTTTGGTGTAATTTTAATATAACTTGGCACACAAGCAGACTACACTGAGATACATAATTATCAGTTTTGTGTTTTTTGATTTTGATGATTTATGTTGCCATAGTAATTTAAATTGAAAATTCTGTAAAATTTTATTAAAAGCTATTCCTACAGTTGTAGTCTTATTGCAGTCTTGTCTCAAAAAGAGATTTAATCAAGGATCATTATTCTATATATATATTGCTTTTGTTAAGTTTTAAGTCTTAACTGTTACTTTACTCTTTGTTTATTTTAAGTACAAACCAGTAGAGCTACAGTCTCGACAGAGACTTCTGGTTACATAATGGTCAAAAATGCTGTACACAGTGTAGAAAGTCCTTCGTTTTATGTTACTTTCGATAGATTTCTTGAATGTTATTGGTCCTTGACAAACTAGAGGTACTGTTAGCAATGAACTCGCTAAATGATACCCATATGAATACTGAGTATAATGGCAGTGTCTATATATTTTGCTATATGGGAAACCCAAAATATGTGTCGGATCAAAAAGTAAAATAGGAGGTGCGCAATGGGAATATGTCATGAAGATTCTGTGACTGAAAGTCTCATCAAATCATTCAGTGGTATGAGAGGAGTTGCGGATAAAAGATGCGTAC